ACTATAAAAATACACTCAAAAAATAATTCAATCGATTCCCATGTGGAGGGTTATAGTCAATTCATCAATAATCACAGTTTGTCAACGATAATACATTAATTAATTTTAAATTTTATCAAAAAGTGCGTGCGGAATATTGACCAGCCCAACCAATGCAAATTGTATAATTTGTCAAATAAACATTATATCAACTGTTAAATTTGTCAGCAAAAAAGTGAAATAAGTATATTTATTCGAGCAAAGAGTTTCATTTAAATAACTTTTTTAAAAATATATCATAACAACAGATTGGTTTTTAATGATAATACTTTGTGTCAAAATTTATAGGATATGTAGTGATTAAACAAACATCTAATAATTTCTCAAAATTAATATTTTAGACTTATCACTTACAAAATCAATAAAAACATACTCGATAAACAAATTCTCCTTCTCTTTCTCTCTCTCAATGATGGCAATATTTTGAGTACTGGATTTGAATACCCCAATTTTATCATAAAAATCCAAAAATGTATTATATAATTTTGCAATATTACGGTATGTGATGGTAATTTAAAGTCCATATTTATTGGCTTTATTGCAAATTACACGTTTGATCATATTTAAAAGCAGCAATGTATTGGTAATTTCAATACTCCACATTATGGACAATTCATAAATGCAGCATGTTACATGAAATTCGACAAACCATTATATTGTTATGTAAATGCAATGTTATGGTGACGATGACACGTGTCCCTCCTAGCTTCTGAAAAGTTAAGCACATGTTATGGCAATTTCAAATTCACATTTGATACAAGCTTTTTCATCAATAACTCGCTAAAGTGTGTGCGGACCTTTGACACCATCACTACAAAATAGGAAACATGGAGTGAAAAGTATTAGAGAGAAAAAAAATTTGCATGAGCAACACAAAAATCAAACACAACACATTTGGGAGAAAATAATCTCAAGCAAAATATATATATTAATAAAGGTCTTCCAATGTCTTGTCGTGGTCAATTGTGGGGATTTGGATAGCACCAAGCTTGCAAACAAAATGGTCGCAGCGGCGGCCCATAATAAAGCTCGACAAAAACAAGAGATTTGTGGAGCAGGATATGCATCGAGGTATTTGGATCGGTGTAGTGGTATAAAAAGTGACAAGAATGATGATACGCAGAGGATTACAAAATTGTCAAGTCGGTTGGATAGAGAAAAAGTTGTTTTACCTTCTTTGTGTAATCCTGCTGCATTCCTTCATAGCCTATCAATAGTCTTGACAATGCACGAGGCCTGTAATTTAGGTAAGGTGACTAGAGGTACTGATTCATTCAGACCATTAATGTACTCCTCCTGTAATGAGAGTTCTAGTGTTTTTGGTGATGAAGTGATATTCGAGTGCATACTCTCAATAACATTATGGCTCTTATGTACCGGCGGAATGGTGACTGTTGGTTTTTTAATATGGCTCCGACGACTACAAGCACTAGTCAAGAAAATCAGCAATTGAGTAGATGAGGTTGAGCTAATGTTAGAAACAACTACTAGTAATACTCGTCGGCAGAAGAGAGAGCTATAAGGAAAAAATCTCAATTGGAGAATGGCTGTAACGCGCCCAAATTATACCCAATCAAAAAAGATAAACTATATGCGGAAATAATATGAGACAACTACAATTCCCTATTCCCTAGTCTAGACATGCAGGGTTGGTGTGCATGAGTTGCGTAGTAACATACCCAGCGATACATTTGCTCCTTGTATACTCCGCACTGCGTGTGTCATGTCCTCGCGTCATTGCTTGGTTTTAGCACACATTGGGTGCTCGCTCATACATCTTAAGCCCCTCGGCTTTTTACAAATAACATAACATACACACATAAGGCATAAATAAGAAGTCCGTACATTTCCCGAACGTCC